TGATTATGTGATAGTGAAATAAGTGATTAAAAACGACTTGTGTTTTGGAAATCGGAAACAGTGGCGGTGACGGCACTACAAACAGCCAGACTCGGGACAATATAAAAAAGTTAGTTGTTCTTACATTGACCCAGTCGAGGATCGAACCCGGGACCAAAGAGATGGCGACTCCATGAAAATAGGTGTGTGAGCGACTCAACCTCTGAGGTCGTCAAAAAACACACAATGATTTTATTTAAATTACAAATATAAAATTTATTTACCTGTATTTCAATAGTGAAATATTGTATATATTCAGAGTGAACAAAATACACTGTATTTTTTTTAAACGGGACAGAATAGGGAAATTCGAAACCATAGACGATACAAGGTAGCTGTCTATAGAACCATTCAATATTTTCTTGTGAAAACTATTAGGGCATAGTCAATTTTTTGGTCAAGAGTGAGTTATCCATAAAAATGAATAAAATTGATCAAAATTCTTTTAGTGCTGATCGACTCACGCTTGACCAAAAAATTGACAATGCCAAAATTGTTTTCACAATAATAAAAAATTAACGGTTCCTGAGACAGTTTCCTTGTAGCTTCAATGGTTTCGGTTTTCCCCATACAGTACCATTAAAAAAAACACTCTGTATAAAGGAGATTCTACACAAAAATCGAGTTTTCCCGATGCTCTTTTGCTAAGGAAACGCATGTACTGGCTGAATATAAATAACGGCAACAATATAGGTACACGGCAGTGTGTCAGTCAACGTTCCGAAAACAAAGAATGCCACGTTGACAGCGTGTACACTACACGTATACAATTCGAGCAGTTTTCGATGGTCTATATATCAAAATCTGTGTAATGTACACATTTATAGCTTTGTTTGACTAATAAGCCCTCAAATTGTCTAAATCCTAAAGTTTATAATGAAACATCAATTTTTTTTTCATCACACTAGTACTTAAGTATTACGATTGCATGCAGGGTAACTTGACTGTAATGCCCCACACAAAATCCTCGGGATTTTCATATTATCATTATAGCCATGGTCGATAATGAGAAGAAAAAAGGTTCAAGAGTTTTATTATATTGCTCCAAATAAAACCCTCAGGCCTTTTTTCTTCTCATTTCAGCCTTGTTCGGAAATGAGAAAAAAAAAGGTCCGAGGGTTTTATTTGGGGCATTATAGTCAAGTTATCCTACAGGCAATTATACTATTTACGTGCAAGAGTATTAACAAACATTGTATATTTAAAGGGCGGTACAGGAATTATTCCGAAAGCCCTCAGAGTACGACTTCGTGCTTCTAATAGAGTCTCGTTCGTAACTCCTTATTTATCGCCCTTAATACGCTATGTACTATTATGATGTCAAGGGATGGTAAGCGACACGTCCATCCATGACATTTGCAGGATCGTTCACAGTTTAAATCGCAAATATCTGAGATACACTGCGCTGATCACCCTAACACGTAACGTGGACAAGTCTTATGTGCCTGTAATTTCACCAGCACCTCTACCCTTTAAAATCGGAACGCATTTATGCTCACATTACTGCTCGGCAGCAGAAATAAGTGTAGTGAGAATGTTCTAGTGCTAATATTCCCTATGTCACCATGATTCTACTGCTGCTAAAATATGTAGTTCTCAAGTTATTGTGAAGATCGTATATTTCTACTTTTAACATTAATCAAAAATAATGAGATCAAAACTCCAGATACAGTATAAGTCATATTCAAAGGAAAGTCAAAATTTATGATAAGAAAATCTGCAGTACCATTAAAATAATCGCGATTTCCAAAAATCTGACAAACTTTTTAATCTTTCACAATCTTTCATCACAAAAATGTTTTGAAAGAATATTTTTTTTTGTTTTAGTTTTTTTCTAGTTTTGGTGGCACTTTTTTTATTATTTAAGTATTTGAGTATTTTGTCGTGAAATATTAAATAATATTTCAGGATACTACAATCCAATATTAAATATAGTTTCATGATAATATTTAAATAACAAAATATTGCCACCGAAACTTACCTTGAAAATTACCATAAAATCTTATTACTTCTTTTTTTTTGTTAATGTAATGACAAAATGTAAATATGAAGTAATGTGAAAGCAATAAACCTCTAAATCTAAATAAATCTTTTTAAAAATTTTATACTTCCACGGCAACGTTAAGAGATTTTTTTTATAACAAAACTCATTTAGACGGATTATTTGATTAAAGAAAAAATACCAATGGATAGGGCACACTGTAGATTTGCATAATTGATGGTAATTGAAGTTGGCACCAACTTAAATGCCAATTATCTTTATCCTTTAATTCAGCTATCCATTTCTCCATTGTTCTGTACTTGGCCATTTTTTCGAAAGCATGTTTTTCGTGGAATATGATGTTACGAGAACAGGTGATTCGTTGGCCAAACATCGATGTTGTTTTTGTGATATGAATACTGATATTTTATGAATCCATTTTTATCCAGGTTATGCCGCGTACAAGGTTGTAATATAATATACTTTTATTAACATACAGTCGTGATGTATCTGCTTGCGATGCCTGTGGTCGTAAGTTCACGTCCCGATTAATTAGGTTTTTTAGTGTTATTTTCCCTTAGTTTTATGTAAAAATTTGTTTAAACACCTATATGGTTTAACTATTCGTTTTTGGTTCAACAATGCATTTATTTTTTATTTTATATATTTAAGTCCTTTTAGCCCACGTTATTGTTTTTATTTACCATTTTTTTTATATACATAACATCAAGCGACGGGACGAACAAGTGGTGCGCTTGGCAGTAAGCTACACATCTGTCCATTACAGTTGCAATGCCATTCAGAGCTTTAAATCGCAAAGATCTGAAGGGCACTGCGAAGTCCCAAGTGCCAGTAAATTCACCAATGCAAGTGTAATTTAACAAGCACCCTTACCCTTCGAAAACCGGAACGCAGTAATGCTAACATTACTGCTTGGCGGCAGAATGCGACAAGCATCGAGACAAATCGTTGTCCTTGGCGACCTTAATGCCAAATCTCAGGCGTGGGGGAATCCATCATCCGACGCGCGAGGTCCAAATTTGGAGCATCCTCTCTGGTCTGTCCCTTCTGAACAGAGATACTACTCAAACCTGTGTCAGCAGGGAGGCTCCATAGTGGACGTCTCTTTCGCTACTCCTGCTATCGCGCGCAGGGTTGGCAACTGGAGAGTGGTAGAGGATGCGGAGACCCTGTCAGATCATTAATATATGCGCTTCGAAGTCTCCGCGGTCTCCGGTACTTTGACACCACCCCGGAGGCTAAGCCGCTTTCCGCACTGGGCACTAGGCCAGCTAGATCGGCAGATGGTCACAGAAGCTGCCACAGTGCAGCGTTGGCTGTCCCGTGGAGTGGCAGAGGATGCCACTGTCGACGATCTGGCTGGTCGATTGCGCACCGCCCTAACGGCAGTTTGCGACGCGGCAATGCCCCGGGTCCAACGACGACATCCCCACCGGCAGGTCTACTGGTGGACGGCAGAGATTGCTGACCTCCGGGCGGTCTGTAATACTGCCCGACGAGCTTACGTCAGATGCCGACGTCGCCACGGTTACGCCCCGGACAAAGAGAGCTAGCTGCGGGAGACCTACAGGCTGAAGAATAAATAAGGCCAAAACCCGCGCTAGGGAAGAAATCTTGGCCGATTTAGAACGAGATCCGTGGGGTCGCCCATATCGTGCGGCGCGGAGGAAACTTTGTCCCCGAAGCGCCCCCGTCACGGTAACTGTGGCTCCTGATCTCCTCAAAAGGGTAAGTAAGAGAATTGTTCCCAGACCATCCAGGTCATCTACCCCCGGTGATGGCGCCACCATTTTCACCGGAAGAAAGTCTCCCGCCGGTCCCCCCTGTAACTGAAGGAGAAATGGAGGTGGCTCTGTTCCGGCTACGGGGCAAAAAAACAGCACCGGGGCCGGACGGCATCCCGGGTCGGGTATTGCACCTGACTGAGGAATGCCTGGACGAATGGGTTCGGGGACTGTTCGACACATGCCTACGCAGTGGACAGTTTCCGAAACAGTGGAAGCAGGGCCAATTGTGCCTGCTGCAGAAGGAGGGCCGTCCAACCGACTTGCCCTCTGCGTACAAGCCCATTGTTCAGCTGGACGAGACGGCTAAGCTCTTCGAGAGAGTCCTCGTAAACCGTCTCGTCCGGCACGGGCATAGGAAGTGGGACCGGGTCTGTCGGAGGCTCAGTACGGATTCAGGGCGGGGAGATCTGCAATCGACGGATGCCCTGAAGAGCCTTACAACAGCAGCGGTGGAGAGCGGGGAGGTGGTATTGGTTGTCTCCTTGGATGTCAGAAATGCGTTCAACAGTCTCCTCTTCGAGACACTGACAGAGGCGCTCCGGTACCATAGAGTGTCTCTCTATCTCAGGAACATAGGACATATGAAGGAAGAAGCCGCGCGGTTGAGCACCGTCGTGACGTCGTTGGTGGTGGAGAGGATCCACCTGCTAGGCCTGAGGGTCTCCATACACAAAACGGAGGCCCTCCTATTTCACGGTCCGCGCAGAGGTCCTCCTAGAGGGGCTAAGATCACCCTGTTCGGGGAGACGGTCACAGTCAAGGCTCAGATGAAATACCTGGGCCTTGTATTGGATGGGAGGTGGACGTTCAAGGTGCATTTCTCCCAACTTGCCCCAAAGCTGATGAGTACCGCAGCTATCCTCGGACGGCTCCTGCCAAATGTCGGCGGACCGGGCGCAATCTGTACTCCGGAATAATCCGGAGTATGGCCCTCTACGGCTCACCCATCTGGGTAGAAGCTCTCACCGCTCAACTCAAGCCTATCCTGCGGAGGCCGCAGAGGGCTATAGCGGTGAGAGCAATCCGGGGGGTGATCCCCCGTGGGAACTTCAGGCGGAAATGCTCGCGGAAGTGCACCGGTACCGTGTAACCATGCGAAGCAGAGGAGAAAGCCCTGATGCTGAAGAAACAAGGCGGATCAGGGCAGCGGGCCGCGCCGCGTTGTTCCGAAGATGGGCTTGGAGTCCCCAATCGCTGGCTCAGTGACCTTGGAGGCCATCCGCCCCTACCTAGTCCGCTGGGTTAACCGGCGACACGGGACACTGTCCTTTAGATTGGTGCAGGTGCTCACCGTACATGGATGCTTTGGTGAGTACCTGCATCGCGCGGCGGGTCGGGAAGCGACTCCTGTCTGCCACGAATGCGGCGCACCCGTCGATTCGGCGTGGCAAACCCGGACGGAATGTGCGGCTTGGGGCCCTCAGCGGCACTCCCTGACTGCCGTAGTGGAAGGAGATCTCTCGCTGCCAACAATCGTGGGCGCAATGCTCAGCAGCGAGAGGTTCTGGGAGGCTATGGTAGCATGGTAGTATGGTAGTAGTAGGTATGGTTTTGCGAGATCGTAATCTCGCAGAAGGAGGCTGCGGAGCGCTCCAGAGAGGACGACCCCCTCTCTGACCCGCTTCGAAGACGTAGGCCGGGGAGACGAAGGAGACAGCACGCCCATCTTCTTCCCCCGCCGTAGATTGGGGTCGGCGGACCCCTTCCATCAAGACTATGTGTGCCCGGGGCACCTTCCTAAGGACTGGGTCCGCTTATGCGGGCCATCCGCCGAGACGTCCCAGTAGTATGTGCAAGCGGATCCTGAGTCCTATCTCTATGGCGGTGGAGTTAACCGCTGGGTTTTAGTGGGTATACGGGACTACCGCCCGGGACTCCCACATAACCGTTCGATGCTCCTCCGAGCCAAGCGGTATGCGTAACGCATTTCCCAGCGACAAAAAAAAATGTTTAAAAAAAGAAATATTTTCCTCTCAAAGTTACTTTGAGAGGAAAATTCGAGAAAACGTTATTTCTGGAAAATATAATTTCAGATTACTGATAGGTAACCACCTCAGAAACTATACAAAAGTAAGTAACACTGAGCTTCGTGTCAGTTGTGATTCTCACTTGCTGCAAAGAAAATTCATTGATGAAAATGGTACAAAATAGCCTTGTGGGTGCCAGTACTGTGGTGTCTTTAGGCGTAATACGTTTTAATAATTATTGTCCATTGTTTAGTGAACTATTAATTACTAGTATAATGAACTTCTCAACACAAGTGGCATTTAGGACTTATCAACTTATACCTATTCTCAGGGTGACGGGCGCGGTGGCGGTGCTCCTCAAATCTTTGAGATGTAAAGCTCAGAGTGGACCTCCAATTTCCATGGACAGGGTTGTCGTTTACCACCATGCGCACGACTTATTCGTCCCATCACTTGATATCATAAAAAAAATAATCTCAATCGAAATCTGACACATCATATATAACACATAATTTAGATATGGCTCACTAGACTTACATACATTCTTGTTATCGATTTTGCGCCCACTTCTCTTTACTACATTAAGCTCAAATTTCACGAGAGTGGTTCCGTTGGTTTGAATATTATAAGGCCAAAGACAGATGGATGGTATTCACAATGTTCCGACTCAGCATTAGCATTTAAATCACTGTTTCTAATATCATCATCATCATCAACAACAACAACCCATTTATACGTCCCTCTGTTGGACACGGGTCTTTCTCAGGCGTGGATTTAGTCCATAGTCCGCCATGCTGGCCCAATGCGGATTGGGGACCTCACACGTGTTGTGAACCTTCTTCGACGTGCAGATTTCATCACAATGTTTTCCTTCACCGAAAAATACTTGGTAAATTGCAAATTAAGTTTTATACTTTTTTTTCCCTTCTAGTTTGATGCTGTCCGAGACCGTTATTCACTTGTATTTATTGGTTTTGTTTTTATTACATTATTTTTTAATTTATGTTGCTGTTTTTAAATTCTATATAATTTACATTTTAAGTTGTTTTTGACAGCTGTATTCACTCATAAGTAGTTGTGCAATTTAGATAAGAACTTCACCAAATTGAATTTATAGTATGTTACATTGTAATAGCTGTAAGTGAACCAATAAACTATAAAAAAATGAAGATTCTCTCATAAATTCCGAGAAAATCAGAGGTGCGAATCCAGATTCGAAATTGGGAGGCGGTAGGTCAAATCATTAGGTAAGCTACCACGGCTTTTGTCTGAGTTCCGTCTCAGTGTTGCCATTCAAACCACTTAAGTTAGTTAATTTATTGTGTGTTATAGCTTTATAGATATTATCGATGATACCGCCAACGTTACGGTTAATCTGGTCTCACAGTTACGTCCGTACGCACTGCCCGCTTTCGTGCCATCCGCATGCGTAGAATCCGCAGTGCTCTGAATCGAGTATTTAATGTAGTGCGAATATTCACGAAAGACAGTCTCCTACAATGAACGCAGGAATGGTCTGTGCGGACTTCACGCAAAGCGTGTCGCTGTAAAACGTTGTTCTAACGCCACACGTGTTACTCCGCTCCGATGCTCCGTACGGACAGTCCGCAGACAAATCCTCCCTGCCTAAGCAAGACACGTATATCTATAAATATTTGACCAATGCTTTCCGATAGCAGATTTTATTCAGATGATAGTTTACAAAGAACTAATAATACTATACTAAAACTGTGGTTTTGTCTAAGTCCACTTTTGAGGGAACACCCATGAAGGGTAAGGGTGCTGGGGAACTCATCCACTTTATGTCTCAAGGTGACAGGGACACTGGCAGTGCCCCTCAGATCTTTGCGATTAGTAACTCTGAGTGGCACTGTAACTGTATGCGTATCACTTACCACCAGGCGCACGAAGAAACCCGTGCCAAGCAGAAAGATTTTTAAGGGCTTACGTACGTCATAGCACTTATGAATGACATAAGTATTTGTAAATTCAAATTGATTTGAGACATGATTTGTAATTACGTAGATTCTTGAATAAAATATATAAAACCATTATTACGTAAACATTCTTCAAAGAAATTGTAACTTTGAAATATTGATTAAAACCCGGATCCCAATAAAAAATTCACCATTTTCACGTTCAATTTTTCCTTTTATTATACTAAAATGATATACGACTGTGGATTTAGGTGAATGAGCAAAATTATTTGCTACATAAACCAAAATGATTTTCTTGGCGGATGGCCAAATTCCTTTTTTGTTATCAAAATTATCACTGACAGTTTGAATAAAAATTTATATCATTGTGCTAGATACTGAGTCAATGTACAGTTGGGCACAGATCTCCTCTAAAAAGAGAGCAGCTTAGACTTTACCATCAGTGGCAAAATTTAGTGCAGCAGTTCAAGGAAGTACTGCCACCTTACCTATTTCAGCCGCCAAGCAATAATGTGAGCATAACTTTTGGTGAAATTACAAACACATGGGACTTTTCGTTTTATGTCTAGGATGACGGGCGTAACGATAATGCCGCTCAGATCTTTGCGATTTAAAGCTCTGAGTGGCTCTGTAATTGTTATGGGCAAGCGCGTCCCTTATCACTGAATAGGAAAGAGCGGCTAAAATAATACTACTGAAATAGGGGTTTATTCCCATATGCTCCCCGGTGCAAGAGACCAAGAATAAAATATATTAATATTTTATTCCGACCTGATACTTACAAGTTTATTTTTGGTAGGTACTTGGTCAGTCAACAAAAATAAGTATTTGAGGGTTGTACAGTATTTTATTTACTTTATTATGTCTGATAATTATAACATTAAACGAAGTCTTTAAATATTACTTAAGACTGATTTTTGTTCCTTGTGATTTGCAATATGTCAATATTAATTACCTATCACAACAAAATTAGATTGTCTGTGATAGTTATAACATTTGATCACAATTGCTCAACGAACATTCAATATCAAAACTGCTTTTTATCTTGGCTATACACTTACCTTGCAAATAGAATGATGACCCCTCATTGTATCTGTAAGGTGAGTACAGTTGTACTTAGTACGTTAGGAATTGAAAAATACAGACGGGATCAGTTGGGATTTAAAATTGGCGGTGGATCAGTTTAGGAGATCAAATGAGAATAACCCGAAATAGGGACACAAACAGCTTTATTGAAAACATAATGGAGACAACCTTTTCTGTATCCCACTACAAACCTTTACAAAAATTGTGAAGTGCCTTCGGTTCACCAACGCTTTATTCTCAGACTGGTCGAGTATGATCCGCATTCGATGGTCACTAAACGCCTTATAAACGGCCTTTTGTTATTGATCACGGTAATAAACATAACAATTTTATTGAAAAAAAATCACATGCTCGGGTTTTAACCCGGCGCTCCGTTAATGCCGGGTTAAACTCAGGTTAAAACTCATTAATACCCAAAATCGAGAGCAAAAAAAAATTAAACTAAATATGTGTAAATCGAATTTAATTAATTTAATTATTTACTTTGCATGCCGTAAAATTGGCAATACGTATTGATACAACAATGTTATCTAGGACGTGGGCACACAATAAATGTTGTCATTTGAGTTTTGTTCAAATTTAACAATATTATTACAAAATGTTTATTGCTTTCAGATCTAGAAGATCAACATTTGCCTTTCTGTTTAATCGGTTCGCTTGAAAATCGCATTGAAATAATTCGTAACAAAAAATTTATAGGGCATATGCACTTGAATCGATCTTCGTAAAAATTGAAACGTAATGTGCATCATTAGTAGTGACAAACCCAGGATTGCAAGGTAGGTATTATGTGGAATTTCCTCTTTTTCGTCTCAAGAAAGATTTTTTACGTTGAAATTTGTATTAAGTACTGAATTACATCAAATTCCGTATTTGCCGTTTCCGCGCACGGTTTTGGGCAGAAATAGGTTAAGCTTAGGCAAGTTGATAGAGTTTTAACCCACTGCCCATCTCTGAGTGCGACTATCACATTGACATTAAATTTGTTCTTCAAAAATACCTATGTAGATATTTTTTCACATTAATTATTTACAACATTTTCATTTGAAAATATCATCGTGACAAAGCTAAATTGATTATTAAAATGCATTTTTATCATCTAAGCACGGAGAAGCTACGTAATGAAGTTTTTGTATAAAGCTCTTGTTTCGTAGAAGTTTTAAATGCCATCAATTGAAAATTTTTAATATCCGCAAGAATGTGAATAAAGAAGCGTAAATTTCTACTCCTTATTAAGAAACTAAGGCTCTTGTCGATGTAGTAACCAAGAACTGTGTTCTACGAGTATTAACTTTTTTCTTTATTTGGCCTAAATAACTCCATCCAGGTCTTCCGTTGCCTCTTTCATTTATGGGGCAATGTATACGCATCTTTGATAAGATTCCGCTTGATATTCAAAATTTGCCTTTCAGGAGATATAGTTCACTGTAGTCTTTTATCTTGTACTAAATGTTATTTAATATACAGCTTCTGTGTACTGGGATGACAAATATCCGTGTTAGAGACCGTTCAGCTCTTGCTAGTCTCGATCTAAGATAT